TGTCCAAACCCTTGGGATGTACAACACCAAGATGAACCCTAAGGTGGACACTGGACTTTGGGTGATTATGATATGTCAATATAAGTTCACCAATCTGTAGCAAATGTGCTACTCTGGTGGGGGGTGTTGACAACTGGGGAGACGATGCATGTGTGGGACACAGCAGGTATATGAGATCTTTGTACCCTCCTAGCATTTTGCTATGAACCTAAAATTGCTCTAAAAAGGTAAGTCTTAATAATTTTGAGTGATTTTAACTTATTTTGTATTTTTTAAAGATTTATTTAGAGAGGGAGCATGCACATGTGCATGAAAGGGGGAGGGGCAGATGGAGAGGGAGAGAGTGTCAAGCCGACTCCCTGCTGAGTGCAGAGCCCCACACAGGGCTTGCTTTCACAACCCTGAGATCATGACCTGAGCTGAAACCAAGAGTCGGATGCTTAAACAACTGGGCCACCAGTTGAGGTACCCTGGGTGATTTCAATTTGCTATTATTTATTTAATTTGCTATTTTAAAAATTGTGGGTTTACATTTCTATTAACAAACAAGTGAGGTAAAATCAAAGAAAATATTTCTTTAGGTAATATATACTGCAAACACACTCATATCTACATTATTGGTATAATTCATAAATTCCCAGAGAATTTCATTTTAATTGCTATTCTAAATAGTAATTAGTAATTGCATTTGTAATGCTTTTTATTATAAATTAATAATAAACATCCTTCATGACCAATGCTAGAAAGCTAATAAATATTTTATAAAAGCAAGTCATTAGAATTCTAATTTTAGTGCTGTATGCTTCCATAAAGAAATAGATCTTCAAAATGCCATAAATAGGGACGCTTGGGTGGCTCAAGCGTCTGCCTTTGGCTCAAGGCATAATCCCAGGACTCTGGGATCGAGTCCCACATCAGGCTCCCTGCATGAAGCCTGCTTCTCCCTCTGCCTATGTCTCTGTCTGTCTCTCATAAATAAATAAAGTCTTTTTTAAAAAATGCCATAAATAACTCAACATTTATAATTCCTAACATGTAACAGTGCTGACAAAAATCTACTTTTGAGAGAAAAAAAAGACGTATCAGAGAATTTGAGACCTGGATGGACCTTAGAAATATCTACTATGTGTGCTTTATTTGCACATTAAAAATATGAGATCTGGTAAAGTTAACTGCCTTAGCCAAAATTACAGAACTGGCTAGTGATTGAACTAGTCCTCCTAATTCCAGTCTATGGTGTTTGGTTTCAATAATTTTTAGTGTAATTTATCCATATAAAATGAAAGAAAAAGTGGATAGAAGAGTTAAAATTTAACAATGTTACAGTGGTAAGGGATAATTTTTATATTAATAGCTTAATTTTATTCTATAAAATACATAAGCATTTATAAAATGTTATGATTACCAATAACACAACAGGATATTTTTAGAGTATTTTATATTAGCTCTAGTAATATAGATATTTAAGAGCAATAAATTATAAAAAGCAATCTCTGAAAAAGAAAATAGCCCAAATTTTTAGTATCAGAGACTATTTAAAGTTTAGTACATATATTTGTTTGGTATTTTATGCAAACTTACACTACCTCTTTAACTGAAGAAAAAAAAGAAATGTATTCTCAGGAAATGAAAGACCTCAAAGAACATTCCTAACATTTTATGGCTTATTAAGCATCTAGACACTGTACAAGATACTGACATTTACAGATGGTGAAGAGGAAAAAAAGCTCTGTCCTCAGGCACTCAACCTGGAAAGGGTGGCAGCCAAAACAGTAAGAAGTACGGTACATTTCTCTGTTTTTGGGCCTCTGCTCCCGCCCTTGTTATGACGGAAAAAAAGAGAAGGAAATATCTAACTATAATGGTGATGGAAAGTAGGGGAGAGAATGTTAGACTTCTCAGAAAATGTGATGGCATAAAGCTGTGTCTGAAAGATGAATAGGAGTCTCTAAGCAGACATAAGTATGAAAAGGCTTTTTTCAGGAAGAGGAATCAGTGGTGCAAAGACAGACAATAGAGCATCTCTTGGAGGACCACCAACACAACAAGGTAAAGATTATGCCTTTTCTATTAGACGTTAAGAGTCTGGCATTCTTTCAGAACAGACATTGGAGTTCTGTAACTGGAAATAAAAGTTTTAAGCTTAAGAGACAGTTTGGTTGAACAGAGTCAAAGCCATTAGGGGGTAAGTAACTTGTGGATGAGACAGTCCAGGGAACATGTACAGAATGAAAAGAGGATCAAAGTGCAATTCTCAGAAAGACAAGCCCTTAGGGTCCAAAAAAGGAACTCAAATGGACACACACACACACACACACACACACACACTCACCAAGAAAAAAGAGGATGAATAACTAAGAAAACAGTGTGAACTAAATTAAAGACCCAAGAATATCCCAAGGGCAGAGGAGGCAAAAGTATCAAATGTAGCAGACATAAAGACTAAACTGTGTCCACTGTTTCTTGGTGACTTTAGCTAGGGCAGTTATAATCATGTAGGGGGGTATATGCCAGGACTACAGTAGACAGAGTAATTAATGATTTTAAGGAAGCAGATGCCGCCAGCATAGACTCTTCTTTCAAAAGGTTTAGCTATAAAAGTAGAGGAGGCAAGAACAGGTGTGGTTGAAGGAATCCAAATGAGTTTCTCAGGATGATTCTGTTTTTTTCTGGGTAGGAGAAGGCGAGACTTCTCTTTGCTAAGATTCTGAAAAGAAGTATGGAGGAGAGTGAAGGTCAGGAGTTGTCGTTGACCGGGGTAAGGTTGTGGAGAACCTTTGAACTCACTAAAGAAAATGTTAAATATTAGTACTAGCCCTGGCTATTTTATCAGTAAGTGAGTACCTACAGCCAAGTATAGAAAAATTTTCTGTATTCTTTAATTAGCAAACTGAAATTAAGCAAAATTTTAAATACTAAATAAAGAATATTTTGATACACACTTAGAGATTTGCATAAAAGAAAATACATAAAAGCAATCATTTTAAACTCATCACATATTTTCTTAATGAGAAAACTCCTTAATTATGATGCTTTTGTATGTGTAGCTTATTTTAAGTGATTGAAAAGTAATTGAACAAAGAGTTCTGATAAAGCATTCTTGATAAGCAAATACTTCTTCTCTTCCCACCCCTCTTCTCCCTCTAATGTGCTACTTAAAACAATTATTTTGGAATTGCTTGATCCAGTTTGTTGAGGTAATACTTTTATAGCTGAAAATAAATGTAAGTGATGGAAAGTGTTTTATTCAATAAAATCAAAACTGCTTTTCTGAAAATATTTATCTCTATTTAGAAACTTGCCATTTTGCATTTATTTTTTTTATTTATTGATTTTTAAAAAGATTTTATTTATTTATTCATGAGAGAGAGAGAGGCAGAGACAGAGGCAGAGGCAGAATCAGGCTCCATGCAGGAAGCCTGATGTAGGACTCGAACCCGGGTCTCCAGGATCAGGCCCTGGGCCAAACGCAGGAGTTAAAACTGCTGAGTCACCCAGGGATCCCGCCATTTTGCATTTAAAAATCAAGATAACCATTAGCTCCAAAATTCAAGTGTAAAGACTGCCTTTAAACATCATACTAAATAATTATTACCTGGGATTACTAATTTTATTCTAGGGTGATACTTCCAGAAAAATTCTAAATTTGTTTCACAAATCTGTCTCTGGAAAGACAGATTTTGTTAATCTAGATCCTGATTAGTGAAATTGGTAAGTCATCTGTACAGTTAGATCAGAATAAGAGTTACCATCTGTTGTCCAAGAGTTGATAAACTCACAAAAAATGCCCAATATACCCTCAGCATCTATTCTATAAACAGTTACTTTTAGTGTCACCACAAAAGACCAGCAAGATCATTTGGTCTAAAACTTCTCTGAAATAAATCATATTTATTCTTTCAAAAAGTAAGTAATTTTTGACAGTGCTGTTTCACAGAGAGAGACTTAAAACACAAACATACACACACAAGCACATGAATACATAATTTGCAAAGGTTAGAGATAGTTTTTATAATAATATTAATAATATTTAATTCTCTTAAAAACTGCATTATAAATTATAACTAATTTGTATCAAAATAATATTGCAATATGTAAGCATTGTTTTATTACTACCATTAATGGTGACCCTTTGTGTCAGGCACTATGTTGGAAGACTAACATAACACAACATTTCATTTAATCACAACCACTCTATGATATAAATATTATTACCTATATTTAAGTATGGATAAATTGAAGTTTCAAGAAATTTACCTCACTCAATGGCACATTTCAAATAAGTTGAGTGAGGTAGGAGTTGAAACCAGATCCATATGATTCCAAAACACATGCTTTTAACTAAGTAGGGAAGTATTAATTCGCTATTTATTAAAATCTTCAAATGGATGGATTATATGATCAACGGGCTTAAAGCAAAAAAAAATTTTTTTTCAAAAGAATCAACGTCAGAATTTTTCCTTATTGAATCTATTACCTATTGGTGATTTCTCTTTGTATTCATTTTATTTCCTAAAATAAAATGTTCCTATACTTAGAAAAATATTATTCCCACATAATCTGTCAGTTTTTAGAACCATAAAAATAGCACATTACAAAAGTAACTGTAAGGAAAAAGGGCTCATTTACATATGCTGGGTGGTCATTCTTTATTTTTTCCTGTTCTAACAACACAGTTCTACCATATGTCTTCACTGATCTCCACTGGCAGACTACATTTTTTATCATTTTATTTACTGGTTTTTGCACCCATAAGTTTAAAGTATCCAACTAATAATCAATAACAAAATTTCTACATGAAGCACAGTGACTAAATTCTATTAATCTTGTCTTAAAACTCAAAACTACAGTGATTTTGAAAATAAAAGAGGGGGTAAATATGTTAGACTAAGAAAGCAAAGTAGAGGAAAAAAGAGAAAAGTATTTCTATTATGAATAACTGGTCATTGCAGAATAAAATATTAATAGCTCAAATTTGGCCCACCCTTTTTTCTTCTTACCTCAGGTTGACTGGAAATATTCAAAATGAGAGCCCATAATTCTGCTCTCAGTGCTGTAGGGCTTCCTTGTCTGATATATTGCTGAGCAGCAGCACTATCTTGTTCTGCTAGGACTGTCAAAGTATAGAAAAATCTCATTAGAAAATTCAATAATGTCAGAAATAACACTGAAATCCTTAAGAATCTCTGCGGAAGCTAACATTTCCTTTTTATATGTAACATCACATCACGTCTTGACAACCTTCAACTCTCTGAATTTTGAAGTGGCCCTATTTACAGCCCTATACACGTCAAGCCCTAAATTCCTCCACCTCCTACCCAATCTGGTAAAAGTTTTTCATGTAGGTACTTGGAAATCACTTTGCTTTAACTATAGCTCCACAGATCTGAAACTAGTGATTATATGCATGTGTGTGTGTGTGTATAATATATATTATATATATTATATATATAAAACAATCTTTGGATTGCATGATCAAGTAAAGTCATATTTATAAAAAACTCAAATCTCTAATGCATATTCTCTAAGTGATGTATGTTCTAGTATTTGGAAGTAGTACGATATTTTAAGTATTATGGTTAAGAATTATGAAGGATGTAAGATATCTAATCTATTAGATAACTTCTTAGCTATCTACCAAAATCAACAGAAAAGAGAGCTTTTTAAAAAGAGGTAAAAAATAAATACATAAAAGATCTGATAACTTTTAAGAAGGTCAAAAACTATTTGTAAGTAGCCAAGTTCACAAAATTAATATATTATCCTTTTGCTTTCATTTTCATTTTTATTTTCTTTAATGAAAATACCAGCTATTAAGTATGGAAAGACAATCTCTCCCAAAACAAACAAAACAAAACAAAAAAAAGCAAAATAAGACATACCAGACAACTGCTGATATTTATCTAACATAGTGTTTTCTTATTATCTTCTTCTTAAAAGGGGGGGAGGAAGCTTATACTAAATGAAAATGACATAACCAAAAGAAATAAAGGGATCATGTAAAGTAAAAAGAGATGAGACATATTCTTTAACTTGCTATTGTGTTTAATGCAAATGTCAAACATGAAGGAAAAATGATGAAGCTTGAATAAATATGATTTTGAAAAATTGAACTAGGGAGTTTAATATAGGACAATATAATTGCCATAGAAGGTAGACTCTGACACAAAGACTTATCTACATTTCATATTTCAAAGACAAAACAAGATTTATAAAAACAAGGAAAAGAATCTTCAAAAGACAGGGAAAATTATTCCCCAGAACACTAAGAGCCGCTTTGGTTATTAAGTCTCACTGTTGTGAACAGTCATCAAGATGTATGAAAGTTATAGTTTCTCCTGATGCAGGGGCATATTCCCATTAACGCTAATGAGAAGTGTGTGGGTGCATCAAAGAGAAAGCCTGCCTCTTTGATTTTAAAATGAAATTCTACTGCTGAATGGAATAAGCTAACATTCTAGAAGAATATGTGTCTGCATTTATTATTTCCTTTTTAGTGAACCATCTGTGTACTTCTTTATCTAACATTTATTGATGAAGCCAAAATGATGCATTTTTCCTCTTTATAAAGATTCCCATAAAAAAAGATTACCATTATATTAGCTACGCAGTTAAATATTACTCTTTTTTAGATTTTTAGATCTTCAGAGATTGAATTTCAGTTGGAGGTACAGAATGCAGACATTTACTTGAGACGGTTTCATTTTCAGTATAGTTTTATAAGTATAATCAAAAACTTACCTTTTTGCCCAATACGTACATGCTCATTTTCAAAAAGTTCTAAAAATTACAGAATAAAATTATTAGATAGAAATATGATCAGCCATATTTAGAACAATATTAGGTATATTTTTTGGCTACTGGTACTGTTTTAAAGCTGAATGGCTCTATAGAAAACTAAGAATATCTTTCTATGCAGAAAAATTTTTCTAGGTTGTTTACAGTTCTTGGAAATTAAAAATGGGTTAAGTATATTTAATCAGAAGCAAAAACTGATAACTTTGTTAAAATAAAACAGAGTATCTTTTCACAACAGAAATATGTCTACTCATCTTGACAGCTTCATTTGCAAAGCCCTACTTCTGCTCTCTAATCTGCCATGAAAGTATGTCTAAAAAAAGCCTTAATGCTATTATAGGTAAAATCCCACTATACAAATGCCATTTTAAAAGATTATATGGGAGAAACAAACATTTGCTTTTTTTATAAAGAATTTATTTTTTAAATCATTTTGAGAGACAGTGAGCACTCAAGAGACAGGTGGAGGAGGGAGTAGAGAGAGAATCTCAAAGAGACTCCATGCTGAGTGTGGAGCCCAACGTGGGGCTGGATCCCACCACACTGGAGATCATGACCTGAGATGAAATCAAGAGTTGGACACTTAACTGACTGAGCCACCAAGGTGCCCCAAAGATTTGCTTGCAAAGTACCAATCACAATGGGAAAAGATCATAAAGTAAACCACATTGAAAAAAGAAAAAAATGGGGCCCCTGGGTGGCTCAGTTGTTTAAGTGTCTGCCATAGGCTTAGGTCATGATCCCAGGGGTCCTGGGACTGAGCCTGAGGGGGCTCCCCACTCAGGAGTCTGCTTCTCCCACTCCCTCTGCCCCTCCACTCCCCTCCTGCACACACACTCTCTCTCTCAAATGGATAAATAAAATCTTAAAAAAAAAAGAAAAAGAAAAAAACTCCTGCTCATCAAAAGATACTACTGAGAGTGAAAAGGTATGTCTCAGAGTAGGATAATATATCTGCAATACATATACCTGGCAAAGGACTTATATCCAAAACCTGTGAAGAATTCCTGGTAAAGACAGACAACTATCTGACACAATAGGCAAAACATGGGAACAGTTTCTTTACAAAAGAGGAGACCCAAAGGACCGGTAAAGTTATGAAAAGAGGCTCAACCATATTAGTCATCAGAGAAATACAATTAAAACCACTATGAAATACACACCACCACAATGACTAGAAAATGAAAAATACGGGACAATTCTACACGCAAAGAAAATGGAGCAAATGAACTTTCCATACAAAGGTGGTGGGAATGTAAAAGCAGTGTAGCCACTTGGAAAACTGGCAGCACCTACTGACACCGAGTGTATGCACATCCTAGGACAATTAGCAGCTTACTCTCAAGTATATACCTTAATGAAGGCATATGCACCCCAAAGGACACATACTAGAATATTCATGGAAGCACTGATGGTAATGACCAAATAGTGGGAACAACTCAAATGACCATCAGTAGTAGAAATCACCAACTGTACGATTCCACATCTATAAAGTAAAAAATAGGTAAAACTACCCTATGACATTAGAAGCCAGGACTGTTACCCACAGAGGTGGCAAGGTCTAGAAGTGTACCTGGAGGCTTCTTGGATGCTGGTAATACTCTATTTCTTGATCTAATTGGAGGTTTCACAAGTGTGTTGTTCACGTCATAAAAATTCATGGATCAAATATTCAGGATTTGTGTCCTTTTTAGTATATTCATTATACTACTATAAAAGCTATTTCAAATTAGAGCAAAACAAAGATTATGAAACTACAAGGGGGAAAGCTTTTAGCTCTTCTCATCCCAGAGAAAATCAGTTTTTCAACTTTTTTTCTTCCTCTTTCTCTCCACCATCTGAGGAAGGAGGTGCTATTAATTGGATTTGTTAGATTCCACAAGAGTGATTAGTTGGCTTTTTCTAATTTATGGGATAACTGTGTGTTAAGGGCCATGAACACACATGTGACTGTCTGGGTAAGTAGGGTCTGGATACCCTGGCAACCTGGTGGGTATGTTGGCACTTGACTCCCTCCTGAGCAGAATGCTCATGCACAGAACACTTAAAGAGTTGTCTGAACTCAGTGGCCGGCTGGTGGTGAGATCTGGGCATTGAGGGAGAAGGAGATCGTCCTGGGCTAAAATTTTAACACAGTTTTCTAAAAAGCATGGTCTGTGATTCCCCAGGTTCAGCCCAGCTAAACATAAAATGGTACCATACTTCATCCTTCCATTTGTTAATATTTTCAGTGTTAATTTTTTTAGATTTAAAAAATTATCCATAAACCTGGTTTTACGAAATAGAATATGTGATCCAGAGTGCTCTATTCTTTTAGTTTACTTTGTTCCTAATGGCTATGAAGTAATTAGTTGGGCAGATTATACAATGACCAGGTAAAGTGTTTGGGGTTCCTGCCAACATATGATCATTTTCTATAACTAAAGTATTTGAATATATTTATTTAAAAGACTATATATACAATAACAATACCAGTCACATTTTAATTAGCTATTACTGCCAAGACTTAATAACCAAAGAATCAAACACTGTCAGCCAATTCTTGTCTCTTTCACAAGTGGATGACACTACGGGATGATAGTGCTTTATCACTGAAAGTAGTATGAAATAAAAATAGGGAGACTTCTTTATAGAATTTATTTATTCAGTTATGTGACATACAAAGATTTTGCTTTTTAGGTGCTATTTTCGAGTCCAAGAATACAAAGCCCAAAAAAGTCAGAACCAGAATTTCCAATCCGTCAACTCAAAAAATGCTTGTTGTTAACTACGTTAATAAATTTATCTATATTAACAGATCTATATAATGCATCTATACAAATAAATCTTGCTTGAAAAAAAAAAGTGCTCTGGTAAGATGAATTGGGAAGATTCTGAGCTAGAAGTTTACTTGGGATTTCTCACAGTCTTTAAGGCACTAACTAACACACACTGTGTATCTTTCCCAAACCTTATTTGGCAGCAAGATCCTCTCCTTCACAGGACATCTATCTGATGAACACTTCATGGAAGACACTTCAGGAAATGCTGAGCCAACTAAAGAAGCTTTTTTCTTTTAGAAATAACAAACTAGAAAATCTCTATTTAGCAAAAACCCTTGTAATAAGATTATTATGTATATTCAGACAGTAATATCAGACATACGACCCCCTCCTTTATCATAAAAGCTTATGAAACAATGCAATGCTGATCTTGCTCATCCTTTTAGCATGAGTCTTATAGTTTCCACTGTAAGTATGCATACATGTGTATATGTGTATTTAAAATAATGCATATTCATGAGTTTGTAGGAATAATGAATATGTCTAATTTTAAGTTACTTATTTATTTTTTAAAAGATACATTATTCAGCATCATCATGATCAGACTATTACGTTTAGCAATCAACAGCATGGGTGCAAAAAAAAAAAATCTACATTAAAATCCTTTGTTGGAGTGTTTTACACTTTCTACAGAAAATAACCTGTTATACAATTAGTCACAAATACAGTCCTCGAGTTTTTTGTTTTTTGCCCATACACAGGAATACTGTCCAACACACATCTTCTTTGTAGCAGCTAGGCCCTGCCACCCCTGTGCTTGGCTGAGCTGAGTTCACAAACCTGTTATAACCTGTAGCTTCCCCGCCACTTCTCTGGCTCTCCTCTCCTGCTTAAGCTTTGCTTCCTGGCAGTAATGAAAACCTTCTGCCACTGTCCTAGCTGCCGCCGCTGCTGGAACCACCACAGCCACCTTGGCTTCCGGGTTTGGCAAAGTATTGGCCTCCATCACCACAGGGGTCAGAGCTTCTGCCTCCAGAATGTCCTCCTTTCATGGGTCCAAAACTTGAGGATTGATTGTTGTAACTGCTAAAATCATGACAGGTTCCACCACCTCCAAAGTCGCTTCCATCATTACCAAATCCATCCTAGCCAGCCCCACTGCCACTGTATCCACCACCACAATGCCACCGAAGCTACCTCGCCCAGTGAAGTTCCCACCATGACCGACGTTGTTATTCCCAGCAAAACCACCTCCACAACCACCTCCAAAGTCTGCAGCACCACTTTGACCTCTTTGGCTGGATGAGGCACTAGGCCTTCTCTTGCTTAGATAGGGCTTTCCTTACTTCACAGTTGTGGCCATTCACACTATGGGATTTCTGAGTGATAATCTTGTCTACAGAGTCAGGGTCATCAAATGTTACAGAAGCCACACCTTGCTTTGTGCCACCACCTCGGTCAGTCATGATCTCAATCACTTCAATTTTCCCCATATTCAAAAATAATCTCTTAGATGATGTTCCTCAGTGTCTTCTTTAATGCCACCAACAAAAATCCTTCTCACAGTTAAGTGGGCACCAGGGCTTTGAGAATCTTTTTTCTTTTTTTTTTAAAGATTTTATTTATTTATTCATGACAGACGCACAGAGAGAGAGAGAGAGAGGCAGAGACACAGGCAGAGGGAGAAGCAGGCTCCATGCAGGGAGCCCGACGAGGGACTCGATCCTGGGACTCCAGGCTGAAGGCAGGCGCTAAACCACTGAGCCACCCAGGGATCCTGAGAATCTTCTCTTGGGACAGCCCTCTTTGGTTCCACAACTCTTCCATCCACCTTGTGTGGCCTTGCATTCATGGCTGCATCCACCTTCTTCAGGAGGCATGCGTGACCAACCCAAAGCCTCTGAAGCACTTGGTGTTTGGATCCCTCATTACCACACTGTCTGTAAGTGTTCCCCATTGCTCAGAATGGCTCCTCAGACTTTCAATGGTCGTTTCAAAGTTCAAACCTCTGATGAAGAGCTTCTACAGCTGCTCATGCTCTTTTGGAGACTCAGACATGATGGCGGCGGGAGGAGAAACTTTAACAATGCTTACTTGGCAGTGTCCACAGGCAGAAAGGTTAAATTATCTCTTAAAATTTTATTATTTAATTTTTAAATTTTAAATTCAATTAATTAACATGTAGTGTATTATTAGTTTTAGAGGTAGAGGTCAGTGATTCATCAGCTATGTATAACACCCAGTGCTCATTACACCACATGCCCTCCTTAATGCCCATCACATTGTTACCTCATCCCCCCAACCCCCTTCCCTCCAGCAAACTCCCCTGTTTGTTTCCTATGATTAAGAATCTCTTATGGTTGGTCTCCCTCTCTGATTATTTCTTGCTTTATTTTTCTCTCTCTTCTTCTGTGTTCCACTGTTTTGTTTCTTAAATTCCACATAAAATTTTAAATTATTTTTAAATAAGGATTCTGTATTATAAAGATAAGGATTTTTCTCCTGCTTTATATAAAGGCCGTTAAGTTCGTAAGTGGGAAATATACTTTGAATATGAAAATTGAATAATAGTATTGATGAAACACAGGTTTTTAGAGATAAGGATATATAGTGTCATAAGTCAGAATAAACTTAATCTGAAATATAAAACTTGGGACACCTGGGTGGTCCAGCAGTTGAGCGTCTGCCTTTTGCTTAGGGTGTGATCCTGGGATCAGGGATTGAGTCACACATCAGGCTCCCTGTAGGGAGCCTACTTCTCCCTCTGCCTCTCTCTTTGGGTCTCTCATGAATAAATAAATAAATAAAATCTTTAAAAAAAAAAAAAAAGAAGAAGAAATATAAAACTTGCCTCTAAAAAAAAAAAAACAAACTTGCCTCTAGCCAAACACAAGTATTAGCAACATTTTAAATCTTAGCATTACTGTTCCAATTTAACCAAAGCCACAAAGACTAAAAAAATAAAAATAATAATGAATTCTAGGCAAAAGTAGTTATACATGATCCCATTCTTCTTTCTAACTGCTGATTAGCAATTCTCAGGTCATGTAAAAATCCAAGTAATGTATTACTGAAATCAATCTCATTGGATAAGCACCAATTTAACCCAATATCTAGAAGTCTTGCTTTGAGGAGCAGAAAGTAAAAACAACTGCATCAGCTAAAGAGACTATCAGCCTCCTCTAGCAGATGCAGTGTTCCTTCCTCTGTTCCAACTGCCCCCTGTATGTAACAATAGCAAATAGCACACTGATTCTTATCTGAATCCTACTTTCCACTATACCTTCCCCAAGAGTAAAGACTGTCACATCTATGTGTTCACTAGTCCCTGGCCCTTAGCAGGGTCTCACATTTGTTGTCTTATAAATGAATCAAAGAAGAAAGAACTACACTCTAGATTAAGAAAACAGGCTTTCTAAAGCATAGCTACTACAGGGCTTAGAATAATTTTAAGCAATTCTTAAGAATTATTTCAAAAGTGAGAAACATAAATATAATTCAAGGTTGTATTATTATTTCCTTTTCTTTTTGTTATATATATGGTACTGGCCATGAACAGAAATATAAGGCATCTGTCTTATTCTGTTCAGATTGCTACCACAAAACACCCACAGACTGGGTTATAAATAACAGAAATTTATTTCGTACAGTTCTGGGGGCTGGAACTCCAAGATCAGGGTGCCAGTATGGTTGGGCTCTGGTGAAGGCTCTCCTCTGGGTTGCAGACTGCTGACTTTTCTCTGTGTCTTCACATGGTAGAAGGTCTAAAGAGCTCTTTTACAAGGGCACTGATCTTATTCATAATGACACCACCCTTTTGACTTAATCACTTTCCTGAGGCCTCACCTAATACCATCACCTTGGAGGTTAGAACTTCAAAATATTTCAGAAGGACAAAAACATCTAAACCATAGCATATCTTATTCTATAAGATATCTGATACTTTCTTTTAAAATAAGAAAAGACAAAAATAAAATAAAATGAGAAAAGACTATCAAAGGTGTCAGGAGAGCAGACAGCATATAATGGCAGGGTCTGGAGGCAGACTGGTTAGTTTTGAATCTTGGTTCTAGCACTAGTTACTAGCTTTGTGACCTTGGGCACGTTACTTAACATCTCACTTCTTCAACTTTAAAATGGTAGTAATACTTCCACCTTACACGATACTAGAAAATTAAAACCATAATGCAGTACTACTATATACCACCAGAATGACCACAACAAAGAGGATGGCATACATCAAGCATTAGCAAGCACATAAGGTCAACTTCCACTCTCATATCTTGTTGGTAGAAGTGTAAACTGGTACTACAATTTTCGAAAATTCTTTGGAAGTTATCTACCAAAGCCGAACTTATGAAAACCCAGGAGAGAGAAATTGTCTTCCCAGGTGTATACTCAACAGAGGAGTATACATATAAGCTCACCAAAAGAAACATACTAGGATGTTCATAGCAGCCTTATTTGTAATAGCCCAAAACTTGAAACTTCCCAAATACTCATCAATAGTGGAATGGATAAATAGATGTGTGGTATATTAATACAGAACACTATAATGCAAAAAGAAAAAAAAGGCCCACAAATACATACAACAATATGACTGAATCTCACAAACATAACGTGGAACAAAAGTCAAACATTAAAGGGTACATAATTTTAGCTTCCATTCATATGAAGTTCAAGAATTGCCAAAATTAATCTATACTGCTAGAAATCAGAATAGTGGTTATCTTTGAAAAAGAGAAGATTGAAAGAGGGTAGGGGGAAGCTTTGGTTCATTGATCTGGGTTGTATTTTAAAAGGTGTGTCCAATTCACAAAAAATTCATAAGAAATTCAATGATACATGTACTTTTCCTTTTTTTTTTTTTTAAAGTAATCTCTACACCCACCCATGGGGCTCAAACTCACAACCCAAGATCAAGAATCACACACTACCAACTAAGCCAGGCAGGTGCCCCCATACTTCTCTATACACATCATACATTAAGAAAGTTTTAAAAATAGTAATAGTCCATACGTACTAGAGCAGCTGGGATTAAAATGAGATAATACACATGTAATATATAGGTACTCAGTGGCTGTTTATTATATATTTTTATTATTATTAACATTATTAACAATAAGAAATTATAATTATATTATTATTAACAATAAGAAATAGCCAACATCTTTATTTTACAGAGAAAAAAATTAGTCCAAAAATGTAAAGTGACTTGTCCAAGTCACAGGGCTAGATGGTGGTAGAGGAGAGACTAGAACAATTCCACTACAATTTAGGCCTTCTGTATTTTAAGTCAATTTTTACTTCTTGTTTATCATAGCTAAATATCAATCTAGTCTTTTATGAGAAACTTAGTATTTGTGCACCAAAAAAAGAAAAGCTAGGGAAATTTTCTGTTTGGTTAAGATTTAAAAGACACTAATTTTACAGCCTAAGTTTATACAAGTAGAATATCAGTACACAATTAACTTGGTGATACAAACAGTAATAAAAATAGGTAATAATGGCCAGTACATGAAAATATGAGTGGTGCCAGAGATGATTTTGCCAACAAAGTGACTTATGTCTAATGACTTTTCAAAATTAAACACCTTCAAATAAAAAGATAAAATCTAGTTGAATTCTGATAATGACAACATACAGAATTCAATTTAATAATTAACAGTAATCAAGAAGAAAAAAACTATGCTTGGTTTTCAGACATAAAGTTACTAGATTAATTTGGAAATGGCAAGACGAGCCTTCGATTCACTCTCATTTATCATTAATATGCCGTATGGGAGAAACACTCACCAGGAGGCACTTGTGTAGAATCATCTATACCCAGCTGTCCTGTAGTTAAGCCAAGTTCAACAAAAAATTCCTTCTGGAAAATAACACAGAATTAACATACATCTCAGACTTTGCTACATAATATTTAAAAAATCAGCTTCCTCAAACATCAGCTTAAATAAAAATCACAAAGTAAAATGAATTTTGCTTCATTCAAATATCTAAAAAAGAAAAAAATATATATTATTGAACTTTTCAAGAGAAATACATTGGTTCAAAATTTTGAATTTTTAAGCAACAGACTAATTAGTAAAGTAAGACATGGTAATACACTTTTGAGTAAAGAGCTAATAACACTCAAATTATTCCTGAAACACACACACACACACACACACACACACACACACACACACAGAGCATGTGTAGAATTTATCAATTTTGTCTTCTAAATTCATTGTCTAAAATTACCAACATAATTCTCTACCTGTGTTTTCTATGGTACTGGACTTCATTCCACTTTAAATCAACTAAACACTGCAAATATCCAAAACAAGTTAAATTAATTTTTAAGTAAAATTAGACGATCAAGTGTTCTGTTAAACTAAGAATAAATTAGATTTATTCTCCAGACTTCCTCCACTTATCTAGTAATGTCTAGGGAAAATCATGTTTGTCTGTTATTTTTTAAATATACAAACTCCCCATATAATTCACATTATTTTTATTCCCTAATTAAATATTTCTATTAATATTTGCCTCAGTTTTATTATTCTAATTGCTAAAGCCAAACTTCCTTCTCCTTTAAAAAATGGAATTGGTTTTAATCTTTCATAATTATGTATTATTATTTAAGTTAATGATTTATTTGTGCCCTCATAAGAGTTATCCAGCCTAACGTGCACACTCATTTTATTTCTGTATCGATTTTAAATAACTGATGTTACACTTAACTTTTAACTAAACTTGATTTTTATCTGTACTTTAAAAAAGCACTTCAATTTATGATTCCAATTTTTAATGACTAAAGAGGTAAAAAGAAAAATTTAATGTTATTCTTCCACTTTCAACCAGTCTTCTACTTATTTTAAATACTGTTCTTTCATTGAAATCATTCGAATTAATGATAAGGTATTTGGTTATTTAATAGTTTTGCTCTCTCTACTACAGAAGGGACTTAGGTTCAAGACACATTTCAATATTAGCTTCTGTAATCATAGTGAAGAATTTTGCTTAGGCTAAGACATGTTAAGATATAGAAACAGAACTCGGAACATTCATTTTCTATTTAACCGTTCTGTACTATTTTTCACTCGGTATCAGTAGACCTGTGCCCCAATCTCTGATTTCCTTCAAAACTCACCCAGGGTATTAGGCCTTCTTGGATGCCTTCTTTGATATTCTAGGTCAATATAAACAATTTTCTCTGCATATGTATTACCTTTTATAAACTTCTAGCAAAGCACAGGATCACATCATATCGAAATTATCTTTTTACTGTCCATCTCCCCATTAACCTGAAGTTCCTGGAAAGGGCTGTCTCTTGCACATATTTGTACCCTACTGGCATTGTGCTAAGCGACACAGAATAGAGGGGCTCAATAAATACTGAACACCCTGCTGAGCTCTAGTTTCCAACCTATTGCCTCTACATGACTGAATCAGTCAATAGCAATAAGTTGACAACTTCACTTTAGAGTTAATAAGTTTCAGTTAATTTAAAAAACGTCCTTTTAGCATGGATGAGTCTATACAATATTGTGAACTAGGTTTGAAAGCCATCTGTTACAGGGTCATATGACTCAGTAAGCCTCACCAAATTCAATACTCATATGGACAAACCAGAATTTAAAATAAACCATGCAGGGACGCCTGGGTGGCTCAGCGGTTAAGCATCTGCCTTCAGCTCAGGGCATGATCCTGGAGTCCCGGGATCGAGTCCCACCATCGGGTTCCCTATGAGGTGCCTGCTTCTCCCTCTGCCTGTGTCTCTGCCTCTCTCTTTCTCTCATGAATAAATAAGTAATATCTTAAAAAAAAATAAACCATGTATCCTGGAGTCAGAATCATATCACCAGATCCTATGACTCAAGGAAGGTAGGAACAACTAGCCCTAGTCACAGTATAAAGAGAAAGAATAACCATAACACTTAGTGGGTATAGCCACAATTTTTTTTTTAAAATTAGCCACAGGCTTTTGGTTCTTCAACAGCTAAGAATGAATCCACATCAGCTCCGGGTCCCTCAGAAAGACAAAAGACATAACTAGTCCCACTCATGGACATACTAAACCTTTTCATACAGTACCCTTCCCCTGTCTCTTTACCTCGCAAACTCCTTCACACTAGTTCAAATGACAGTACCTCTAAGAAGACTTCCCACCACTTCCAGCAGAAGAATCTGTCACTTCCTCTTCTGTTCACATTATATAAACTACTACTTATAGGACTTCTAACACTTTTAAAAATAATTTCTTAAAAATTTATTTTTTATCAAAGTTTTAATAGTCATGTAATTAACTTAAGTAATGTAAGTAATAGTAATTAACAGTTATATACTATTTACTAGGCTCCAAGCACCATCTATATGCTTTATATATTATTTTACTTTCTTAGGGCTTCCATAAAAAAAAAAAAAAAAAAAAAAAAGAGAGTACCACTAACTGAGTAGCTTTAAACAACAGTAATTTATTCTCACAGTTTTAGAGGCTAGAATCAATACGTTAGAAGGCCATGCTCTCCCTGAAGACTTTAGGGGAGACCTGTTCTAAGCCTTTCTCTTAGCTACTGGTATTGCTGGGAGCCTTTGCTGCTCCTTGGCTTATAGACACCTAACTCCAATCTCTGCCTCCCCTGTCTTATTATAACTCCTTGTATGTTTCTCCTCTGGTCTCTTCTCTTTTTTTTTTTTTTAAGATTTATTTACTTATTTATGATAGACACACACATAGAGAGAGAGAGAGGCAGAGAATCACAGGCAGAAGGAGAAGCAGGCTCCACACAGGGAGCCCAACGCGGGACTCAATCCCAGGACTCCAGGATCGCGCCCTGGGCCAAAGGCAGGCGCCAAACCGCTGAGCCACCCAGGGATCCCCTATCTCTTCTCTTCTTATAAAAACACTGGTCATATTGGGTGTAGGGCCCACTCTATTTCCACAAGATATTTCCGTAAGATTGACGGATCTGCAGTGACCCTATTTCCAAATGAGGTTACGTTACTGGAGGTTGGGACCTCAACATATCTTTTAGAGTGACACAATTCAACCCATAATTTACAGCTTGTTGATCTGCACAATACTTCTATGAGATATTATCATCCCTATTTTACAAATAAGAAAACTAAGGTTCAAGAAAACTTGCCCAAGGTCATATAGCCAGTAAGGGACAGAACAAGAATTTAAACTCCTATTAGGTGCCTTCAGAGTCTAACTAACTAACCATCGTGCTATACACATACAGCAAATAGTTTAAGAAGTCAAATGACCTTGGGTTTACCTTCACCCAGCACTGTTGCCCTGAAAACGTACTGGATCTCTCTCTCTCTCTCTCTCTCTCTCTCTCTCTCTCTCTCTCTCTCTCTCTCTCACACACACACACACACACACACACACACAAGCACAAATTGTGGCGAGGAATGCCAGCTATATTAAGCAATATACTTTGCTGAAAAAATATGACCTTTGATGATAAATTATATTTGAAATGGAAGACTGGGGGGATCCCTGGGTCGCTCAGTGGTTTGGCGCCTGCCTTTGACCCAGGGCGAGATCCTGGAGTCCCGGGATCGAGTCCCGCATCACGCTCCAGGCGTGGAGCCTGCTTCTCCCTCTGCCTGAGTCTCTGCCTCTCTCTCTATCATAAATAAATAATCTTTAAAAAAAAATGAAATGGAAGACTGATAGGGCTATAAAAACCTATTAGAAAATACAGACCATAGTTGCCTGATGTGGTGTCTCTTGACAGGACTTGGAAGCTATGTTCATGTGTATCATAAGAAACAGTTCCTATGGTCTATAAGACTTCCCTATGTTGTGCCTATGTTACTTCGTCACTTCCAATCGCATGCCTTCCTTGTTGGGGCTGGGAAGTAGCACGAGGTTGGCTGTACGGACTCTCAGCCTGACATACAGACATGCTTTGTTTTCTGTCCCATACTATTATACAAATCTAAGTGAACCTGATCCCAGGTTATAACCTATTGTATCCTGTGAGTGTGAATGTAACTTCAAAACTGAAACAATTATTAGTGCTCATGGTAAGCATTCATTCTCTAAATTGGCTGTCTTTATTTTTTCACTTTAGTTTTTGCTTCTGCCTTTCAAATTGGAAGATTTCAAGTATCTAGAGATCCTAGGTTGGTCAGTCATATTTAGAATGAGGCAATAAACAAGTGCCCGGAAGCGGAGTCTGCAAGGATTGGGCAAGGGCACAGTGGAGGGAAAGAACTGGGCAGGCACAGTGATGGAGGCAGGAGATGATGAGAGTAGTCTCACCATTTGATCAACTTTCACTTAGTGTCTCTGTTTTCAAAACAGTGTCTCAGTATTGCACTACTTTAAATCGGAAGTCACTGAATTCTTAGCCTCTCTGACTCTTTTTCTCTCACAAATATGTCTCAGGGGAAGGAGAAGTCACCTGAATATGCAACGTGCCAAGAGTCTGGGGGTCTATTCTCTCCTGATACAGACTTTCACATAGTCTCATTTGTAAGCCTATGGTTCACCAAGACCTTCTATAACATGGGGTGTCTCCAATTCTTGAGCCTTTGCAAAGTTCTATGGAGAAAATCAATTTGCTTCTTATATTAGTGTCTGGTCAGAAAATAGAAATCATACCAGAAATGTGACAAGGAAAAACAGAATTAGCAAATGTAGAAAGCAACTATGATTTTTAGACTGATGAAGAAGGAACCAAGAAGGAACTAAGAATTCAGGAAAGAGCTCCCTGCCCTCAAGACTGATATTCAGACTTTTTTTTTTTTTAAACAAAATGCTTACCAGAAGTTGTAGTTATTATCTGTTATCATACAAAGTTATTACACTATTACCCGACTATATTCTCTAAGCTGCACTTTTCAGAGCTGTGATTTATCTATTTTGTAACTGGAAGTTTGTATCTCTTAATCCCCTTCGCCTACTTTGCCCATCCCCCCACCACTCCCCACTCTGACACCACCAGTTTGTTCTCTGAATCTGTGAGTTTATTTCTGGTTTTTGTTTGTTTTCTTTTTCAGATTACATGAGATTCAGTCTCTTAAGGATAAAGAATGGCTGCCCCAGGAATGTGCATGGGGGTTAGAGAGGGTGGGTGAAGAAATTTGCCAGAGGGTACAATCTGTAGCTGGTTCCCCAGCTGATCTGCTGCCTTCTGAACATAGGATCCAGGAAGGGAAGGCCTTTTCTCCTGTTATGGTCTTGCAGGCCCCCCAACCCTAACCCTCAACTGATAAACCCTAACATTAAGCCAGTTAGCAAAAGAGGAGTGTTTGTAAGATATAGTTCCAGCAAAATAAAGCAGAGCAAAAAAAGGTACATACAGAGATGAAGATAAATTGATTATTGGTATGCCTCTTATCTGTACCTCCCATCTTCCAGAGAGAGGCATATGGGCTTGATCTTCTTCTGTGTTTAAGTCAGTTATCATCTTCCTACCAGCTCTCCAGCTGAATATATTAATAGAGTTATAAGTTGTTTCCTAGTTTCACCAAAGACAGTATTTATAGTTTTGTGCTCCTTTTTGCTTTGGGGTGATTAGCAAGAAAGGGAGTGATAATTTCTTAACTCCACCATCAGGAATTCTCCCCATCTTTCTGTAATTGCTGTTTTAAAACTTTCTCACCAAAATGTGACATACAGACATGCTATGTTTTCTGTCCTGTACTATTCTACAAATCTAAGTGAGCCTGATGCCAAGTTATAACCTACTGTATCCTGTAAGTGTGAATGTGACAGTTTCCAGAACAAAGACAGTCTCTCCCACATCTTCCTTTCCCTTTATCTTCCTCAGTGCCTCATTCCCTTTATCTTCCTCAGTGCCTCTTCCTCAGTGCTTAATAAAAGGCTGGTTGAATTAAATAAAATGAACATTCCTTAAAAGTTTTTAATAAAATTCACAAGTTGCTTCAATGAGTTTTATTGCCATATATCACACACCTGAATCTCAACAAACTGTCTTATAAATCTATGCTGTTGATTAAAATGAGAAAAAAAGAAAAAGCATTTATATAGGTCCATGAGAGCTCATCTGTAGTCCTACTAGCAAAGTAACTCCCTCTCTGTATGTTTACAATAGAAACATTTCACTTCATTTAATGAGCAGACAGACCTTGTTGCTTGCTGCACTAGAATATTTTTCTAATAGTGTCTTCTAAAATATGTAATATTTTGAATGACTATACACTTACCAATTCAGGGATGTCTTTTACTTTCAGAGGAACTTGGATTAAACCCAAATGAGTCCTGAAACTAAGAGAATCACCATTTTCATAATTTGGGTTGCGAAGATTAATTAACACCTTTAAAAACAAATCCAACAAAATTGGTTAGTTTCTTTATAAGATGTTTACACTTATAAAATTGGCAACGATATTCTTGGTGTATAATCAAAATTAAAAACCATTTGGGGCTATGCATAAACTTTAATTGCATTCTAAAATACCATAAAATTGTACTGAAATGTTAAAATACCATAAACATGCTTTAAATTTAATATTTCCACTGATGATCTACCATATGAAAGTCTAAAAAGTTAAGAATTTAATTAGAATGAAAAACCTTTCAATAGTAATAAAAAAAAACTGCTTGATTATAATATTTAACCAGAGAAGGTGACAGAAAAATTAAAATTGCTTGATTGTAACATTTGCCAGGGAGTTTTAGAATCAGCTGCAGCTCTTTTAAAAACAGCTACTGACAACATTTTCAGATAGTGGAATAATATTGTAGAGTATTGCTTCTAAATCAAACTCACAAGAAAAAAAAATTCAGAAGCCAAGCTAACAAAAAAGTATATATACTAATATAAGGGAAGGGAGAAGAAATGTGTGGGAAATATCAGAAAGGGACACAGAACATAAAGACTCCTAACTCTGGGAAATGAACTAGGGGTGGTGGAAGGGGAGGAGGGTGGGGGGTGGGGGTGAATGGGTGACGGGCACTGAGGGGGACACTTGACGGGATGAGCACTGGGTGTTATTCTGTATGTTGGTAAATTGAACACCAATAAAAATTAATTTATTAAAAAAAAGTATATATACTTTCAGAATTAAAGATAAAAAAGTCTTAGATATTTACATATCCTTTAATCTAGAAATCACACTTCTATGACTATAGAAATAATTAAGATGTTTGCAAAGATACTGCAAAATGTCAATGAAGTACTGTTTATAACGGAAAAAAAGGATCAATTCATCAACAGGCCTGAAGGAAACAGAATGTTATGATTATTAAAGAGAAAACACAAAAATTACATGAACTTTCAGCCCTTAAGTGCTAAAAAAGTGAAGAGTTTGGGAGAAATCTTTAGCAAGCTAAGAAAAATAATCCCATCACCATAAAGGCAGTTTCCGTCCAAACTAACTTCTCTTTAGAGTTAAAAGGAGATCCCAGTTTGGGTGCCTGGGTGGCCCAGTGAGTTATGCATCCAATTCTTGGTATCAGCTCTGGTCATGATCTCAGGGTCCTGAGATTGAGCCTTGTATAAGGATCAATGCTGAAAGAGGAACCTGCTTAAGATTCTCTTTCTCCTTCTCCCTTTGCCCCTCACATCCCTCCTCCCCGACTTGGTATCTCTTTCTCTAAAAAGAAAAAAAGGAGACAGTACAGTTGGCTCTTGAATGACACAGGTTTGAACTACATGTGGGTCCACTGAAATGCAGACTTTTTACAGTATAATACTGTAAATGTGCTTTCTTTTCTTTAGGATTTTAATATTTCCTTTCCTCTAGCATACTTTATTGTAAGAGTACAGTATATAATACATATACAAATATGTTAATTGACTATGTTATCAGTAAGATTTCTAGTCGACAGTAGCTATCAGTAGTTAAGTTTGGGGGAGTCAAAAGTTATATATGGATTTTTGTCTATGCAGAGGATCAAAACTCCTGTGTTATTCAAGCATCAACCATGTTTTATGCGGATAAACTAGTATCAGAGACAACAGTTAAAAGAAATAAAATATGAAAGATTCATTCATTCTTTTATTTATTCATTCAATACCTATTTATTGAGCAACTATGTGCTAAGCACTATTCTACCTGTTGGAGATAGAGCAGTTAACTTGCAGCTGGTTTGTGGCAGCTCCACATTTATCTCCAGGGACACCTGGATGTCCGGCAGTGACGCTTGGCCAAGATGGGATGAGGTACACTAACTAGTTATGTATACTGTGCTATTTAATGTCCCCTGGAGGCAGTTCATGTCAGTTTATTTATACTGTTTATTGAAAATGTACAGATTGCTGGTTTCATCTGATCCACCAGTGGGGGTATAAAAGACCCGTTGGGAATCTTGTGCCTCAACTCCCAAGGCCAGTGTTTCTCACTTGTATCTTGGCAGTTCAAAACCCAAAGATAAAGCATGTCCTCTGCCACTGAGAAAGGAGCTTTGCCAGGAAGTTTGGATCTCTTTTTATCTTTATGTGCTTTCTTTCTCTTGCTGAAATAAAAGCCTTCTGTGGTTATATCCTATGAAGTCCTGTGAGTCTTTTCAATTATCTGACTCTGTAATTGCTGTAGCAGTGGACAAAATAGAAAGAAAAGCTCTTGCCCTCGTGGACCTTCCATATAATAGGAGAAGGCAGGCCATAAGCAAAAGAGAAAAAGAGAATGTTCTATAATGATGAATGCTATGAAGAAAAGCAAAGTAGGAAAAGGCTAAAAGGAGTTCTAAGCAGGGGGCTGGGGGGGTGAGAAGATGACATTTAAAGCAAAGACATAAGGAATGAGGGAATGTGCAGTAAGTATCTGAGAAAAAAGCACTGTGCGCAAAGAAAACAAAAAGCAAAGGCCGTCAATGGGAGGAAGCCAGGGGAAAGCAAGGAGGCTAAAGAAGCTGGAATAGAACAAAGCAGGGAAGAGTTATATGAAATGAACTCAGAGAGATAAAGGGGTATCAGATCAAATAGGGTGTTTTACACCACTGTCATGAGTTTGGCTTTTAAGCAGAATGAGATGGGAAGCCGCTGGACACCAGAAGAGTGGTTTACTTGGAATGGTACTTAAAGGGCCTTCTCCTGGGAACTGCACTGAGAACAGATTCTTGGTGGGCAAGGGTGAAGGAGGAAGATGGGTTAGGAGGTTACTATAGTGATCCAGACAAGAGATGAGAGCTTGGACCATGGACGTAGGAGTGGTAGTAAGAGGAAGTGGATGATTCTGGATAAATTTTGAAGGTAAAGGTGACAGGATTTGCTCATAGATTATGTGTAAGGTACAAAAGAAAGAGGAGAATCAAAGAAGGGTCAATTAAAATAATTAGTGAGTTCTAACTGCCCAGTAAGGAGTTTCACTTAATGATCCATATGCCTCTCAAACTTCACTAAGCTCATTGTCTTCGCTAACAGACCTGTTCCTCCTCTTGTATTTTCTACCTCTGGCAGGTACCTCTGCTCAGTTACCCAATCTAGACACTTAGAGATCATCCTTTTCTTTTTCTCATAGTCCCCAAACCTAATCACTTCCCATATCCTCCTAAAAATCTCTTGCAAATCTGTTGAATTCTTTCCACTTCCAATGCTGTTCTTTTAGTTCAGATCCTTTTTTTTTTTTTTTTTTTTTTAGTTCAGATCCTTTACATGTCTTAGACTTTAGACTTAGACTAGACTTTACATGTCTAGACTACTGGAACAGGGAAGGACAAAAAAGGAAAAGATTCACTGAACATCTGTATGTGCTAGCCAACAGGTTACCTGATTTACAGTCACTATTTTTAATCAAAATCTTCCTAATTGATTTTCTCGCCTCTAATCTTCCCACATTCCAATGTATTTTCCAAGAACTATTTCTGAACACAAATCTGATGTCTTTCCACTGCTTCAGTGACTGCAAGGCTTTTAACATGATGATTCCTCTGCCTAGAGATATTCTTATATCATCATTTCTTCCATTTGCCCCCCCCCCCGCCGCCTTACTAATATACCTATATTGACCCAATATAACCTACCTCCAGAAAATCCTTCGGTGCATAAACAGGTCTGAAAAGGCTTAAATCTGGAATTAATAAGATAGATTAGAACAAAATTTCAATTAATATAACATGAATGCTTATTAATAAATATTAATGATTCTTTGATATGTTGCTGTGTAGCTAGATTAAATCAGACTTTTGCATAGTATTGATAATTTGTCATACGTTGTCTAAAGTAGTGGGAAGACAAAAATGAAAAGATAGTCCCTTTCCTTCACAATCTAGATTCTAGAAGAAATTAAGAGTCTCTCCTTCATAAATATGTAATAAATTTCTATTGAATTGAAGAAACAATGTCAAGACACCTGGGTGGCTCAGTGGTTGAGCATTTCTGCCTTTGGCTCAGGTCGTGATCCCGGGGTTCTGGGATCTATCTAGTCCTGCATCAGGCTTTCCATGGGGAGTCTGCTTCTCCCTCTGCCTGTGTCTCTGCCTCTCTCTGTGTGTGTCTCTCATGAATAAATAAATAAAATCTTAAAAAAAAAAAAAAGAAAAATGTCAATATAACACAAAAGTTCTATATGAGAATTTTCAAAGTACATAGAATATAAATAATACTTTCTTAGTGAATTCCTCTAGTTTATTGACTGTTCTCCCTTTTGAACTTCTATAACACATTGCTTTCTAGAGAAATCTAGTACTGTACTTATTTCCTGCCTGGTCCCCCATGCTTATTTTTAAAGAGGAGTGGTGAGGCATTATGTACATGTCTACCTAACAATTATATATATCTACTTATTATAGAAAATGAGATAGTTGTCACTCATGATATGCTTATAAAATTGACTCCATTTTAATCATTAAAATAAATCAATTTTTTTTCAAAATCAATTCTTAAAAACACTTAGGAGCATCAAAACTTTTCACTATTCAGCCTATCTTTGATATCTCAATGTAATTAAAGTTTGAATAATATTTGCCTTGATTATGAGTCTAAGAAATCCACTGAAAGATTTAGTCTACTTTTTTATAAAAATGTTTCCAAATGCTGCTTTAAAAAAGGATAATTGACTTAAATATTCACCAAATAATGTAAAACATTAGCCAAAGTTAGGAATTTTTAAACTGCAAAGTAGAAATTTAAGCAAACAAAGTAGATGATTGTAATTAGTGACAAAGGAAAACTGCTCTCTTTCCAAAAGAATTGCTAATGTTATTATGGATCCGCAATTAAGAAGGCAATTTGTTTCCTACAGCTACATTTTTAAAAACGTTGTTCATATACCTGGTTCATCAGTTCCCATTTCATTCCATTTATTGAGAAGTTCTTTCTGTTCTCCAACTGGCCTCTAAAAAAGGTAATTTTAAAATTGGTTTCATTTTGTGAGGTTTAGCAATGCAGCTGAAAAATAAGAACCAATAACTTATCTAAAAGTTTGAATAAGCTACCATAATATAAGGAGAAATAATTTCACTACATATGGTGAACTTTTTTTGGAATTACTCTTAAATTATTGTTATTTAACTATTATATTATATCTAGTCTCAATGGCTCAATTAGAATATGGTGCTAATGAGTCCAAGAAAAGAAGGTAAATGATCAATACTGGCCAGTAAATTTCACAAAGAAAACCTGCTCCTCAGCCACATACTACATCTCTTACCCCATTCAGCAATCTCAGAAATGCATCGCAAGGGGGACTGGCCAAGAGAGTGTGACTGTGAGTCAGTAGCATCAGCTTCCTATATGAAAGACAGTATATTACACAATACTACATATTTAGACAGTTTTCCATATAAATTTATCTGTTTTTTACACCATCCTTCTGGTGCCTTCAGTGACTTGTCCTTGGGTATTATCCAAAGTTCATCCACTATATCCTGTCTAACAGGAAAGAATAAATAGCATAGTAGCAACAATAAAGTGAAGAGAAATTTGTTTTCTCCTATTCAAAAGGAATCCAGAGCATTCCTCAAATGGCTTTTCTCTCCCTTTTTACCTCTCCCCACTCAAAGCCCATAGTGACAGATAAATGTTGAGAACTAGCTCTAACAATAGTACTATTAGAACTAAATAGTTCAACAACAGAGATGACAAACCATCTTTCCATCCTCTATGTTAACACTGAAAGATGGTACCATACTGGCTATTACAAAGTGATAGTATGCCCAAACTCCATCTCTAATTTTAAAAATATGCTTATTGTGCCAACTAACCAAAAATAAGGAGACCGAAGGTAATTAAGATACCTACAGGGCATTTGTAACACATATAACTTTTATAGCCAAATCTCTAAAGAACCTGTATGTAGATTATCTCCTGTATTTTTATTTATTCTCAAGATATGTTCCTTACAAAAAACATCACAGCATTCATAACAGAAATCTAAATAGAATACATCGATGTAATTGGCCTTTTACAGATTTTTGTTTCAAAACAAACTGATACACTGGTTAAAAAAAAAAAAAGATAAATCTGCCTAGCAGTTACAACTTCACTGAATTTCTAGTATTTGATTCACAATAAAAGGCTTAAATGTTAAAAGTACCTTTCGTGCCAATGGGATACTCAGTTCAGTGCACATACTATTTAAACTCTTCAAAATTCTTTTTTCCCAACTTCCCTGAAATATAAAGAACAATTTATTATTGTTTCTGGTTAACAATACCAAAACTAATTTTTAAAAATTAAATAAATTATGAGTTATATAGAAATGCTGGGGTTGGTTGAGACTGGTTATCTTCCTTTATTATTTCACCCAACAAATATTGATCAACACCTACTATGTGCCAGATACTCTCTTTAGTGCTGTGAAGTAAGTCATGAACAGAAAGTCTCAGTCCTCATAGAACTGATGTTCTAAGGGAAGATGGCAATGAAGACAGATTTAAAAAAAAGAAGGAAATCAATGAATCATACGGTGATAAACACTGTAAGAAAAAATAGCAGATAATAAAAAGGTAAATTACATTTAAACATTTTGTAAATGTTTGATACTCAAAAATCTCATTAATAACCTAGTAAAAATAAAGCTTTATAGGAATTATTATATTCAGTCCTAAATACCTCAGCATGAATATTCTAACAAGAACCTTCTCCTACATAACCACAATACCACTATCACACCTAAGAAAATGAGCAGTAATATTTCATATCATCTAATACTTAGTCTACCATCAAACTTTTCCACTTGTTCCCAAATAATTTTTACAGTTTTTTTAAATCCACAATCCACTAAAAATGTAAGCATTACATTACATTTGGTTGTTATGTCTCTTCCCCTGTAGCTAAATCTAGAATACTTTGTCCTTTTCTTTTTCATGATATTGGCTTTTTGAGGAGTCCAGGCCACCTATCTTTTAGAATGTGTTACTAATTTGGATTTGTCTTGGGTTTTTTTTGTTTTGTTTTGTTTTGTTTTTCCAGCATTACCTTCTTCTCTATCTCTTATATCCCTTTTAAACTTGAAATAAAAAGTTCTTTTAATAGTCAAAAATTGATTATCCACATATATCATATTTCAGTAAAGTATTCTTTTTAACACCAAGTTAAATGATCATAATTCCTTTTTTTTGGTCTTTTTACTAAAATATGCCTATAGGTTACTTCTGACTCATTGAAACCAAACTAAAATAATACCAAAGCTTCAAAATTTAGATCAAGAGAGGAGAAAAAAGGAAAACTATGTATATAACATTATTGATAATGGACAGTTATATCCAGTCAATAAAAGTAGAATAATAATAGCAGCTCCAGCGGGGCCTGGGTGGCTCAGTCAGTTAAGTGTCTGCCTTCGGCTCAGGTCATGATCCCAGGGTCCTGGGACTGAACCCTGTATTGGGCTCCCTGCTCAGTGGGGAGCCTGCTTCTCCCTCTCCCTCTGCTGCTCCCCCTGCTTATGGTCTCTCACTCTGTCAATTAAATAAATAAATCTTAAAAAAAAAACAGCTTTAAAAAATGTGGTTATTATAAAGATTAAAGATGTAAAGTACTTGAAACAGTGACATAATGATAATAATCATTCAAAAATTGATAGCTTTTAATATAGCTGTCATTGTTCATAGCTTCCTCTTTAACACACATATTTAAATACATTACTCTTTTTATCTGAACATACTCTCCATGCTCTAGTGTCCATCCCCAACATACTTATTCTTACTTTATCTGAATAAATCTTATTCACCTTTCAGGCCTTCACCTCTATTTTTTCTTAAGATTTTATTTATTTATTCATGAGAGACATACAGAGAGAGGCAGAGACAGGCAGAGGGAGAAGCAGGCTCCCTGCAGGAATCCTGATGCGGGACTTGATCCCAGGACCCCAGGATCACGACCTGAGCCAAAGGCAGACGCTCAACTGCTGAGCCACCCAGGTATCCCAAGAATTTTAAATTCAGAAAAATTGGGATTCTTGTGGCTGGAACAGGGGACATGAACTATTATGGCTGAAAATTCAAATAATGAAAAGATATTGATTCAACAAACATTTACTGACCACTTATACATCACTTTTGTCATGGGGGTGGGGAAGATAAGACAGCACAAATAACATGAGACAGGTTCAAAACTGCACAAGGACTATTATCAGCCCATACGCCATACACAAATGGAAAGAGCATAAAAAAATAAACGAGGAAACAGGAAGCTGGGTATGTCAAAACTTCTAGTTGTTAATAGAATACATACCACTTCCTTTAAAAGTCTAAAAAATATTGAAAGGAAAGTAACTTCAATGATTTGCATTTCCCCATTCCCTCTTCCATATTTATGACACAATGCCAAGGTTGAGGGCTTTCCCAAGGTACCCTTACAAGAACTTCAGTCAAGGGACACCTGGGTGACTCAGTGGTTGAGTGTCTGCCTTCGGCTCAGGTCATGGTCCCAGGGTCCAGGGATCGAGTCCCGCATCGGGCTCTCTGCAAGAAGCCTGCTTCTCCCTCTGCCCATGTCTCTGCCTCTCTCTCTCTGTGTCTCTCATGAATAAATAAATAAAATCTTAAAAAAACAACAAAACTTCAGTCAGATGATCAGAGAGGTTATTTCCATAGAAACCTTAGGTAGCCTGGGAAGTCATTTCTATAAACATCAGAAAGAGGAATAGAATTTCCTAACAATGAAGGGAAATCCAAGATGAAGAAAGTAGTCGCTGGCAACCTGGGTCATCCTTTAGGTTCCCTCAAGAACTCTAATCTTAACTTAGGGGTATTTATTTGTTCGTTTGTTTACTTACTGCCATACTGACTGACGTGTATGGAGTGCTTTCTACGTGCCAAGCACAAAACTACGACCAGTGAGTAAATGGTATAAGGAGCATAGGACCATTTTAATATAAGAAAGAAACTTTCCAACAAGTAGAAAGGCTTAACCAAAACGGCTTAAGTTAGTGAAATTGTGAGCTCTCTGATTCCAGAAGTACTCAAGCAAAAGGAGATGAACTCATGAGGTTGGACAAGATAAACATGATGGATCTACTTCAAATCCAGTTTTATAAATACTTAACTTTTCTCAAGCTCTATCTGTAGAAGTGACTAAACAAGCCCAAAGTCTCAAAAATAAATGCTCAAAAAGTCATGGTCTCAAGCTATTATTTAAATTAAAATGTCAATACATGTTTAGCACACATAGAAAAAAGTGGAAGTGGCAAATAAACTATTGAGAAAAGGGAGAGCACTAATAAAAGATACAAAGGAAATAATGGTTCCTACGCAAAGATTTATGAAATAAATAAAGCTTTAAAATGTTATTTAAAAGAAAAATGAACGGCCTTTTACATTTAAAGTGTTTAATAGGAAGACATTACCTTTTACCCAAACCCACATCCTCTCCAAATGAAATTACTGTTGCCTTCAAATCAGTTTCCCTAATAATTGGAATCTATGGTATTAAGTTAAAGGATTTCAGAGTTTCATAAATAAGGTAATTCCTAAGCCACGGGAAGCAAAAAACTTAAAAAAGAATCACAACTGTACTGAAATCTCTAACTGGGTATTAGCTATTGCCTTGCTACTTTTTTCCTAACAATGAAAGTAAGGAGTCTTAAAAAGCCATATAATTTAGCATGTAAAAACTATGAAATTATAAAATTAAAATTTATTTCCTTCACTCTGAAAAAAAAACAAAGCAAAATAATTATAATCCAGCTATCTAAAGAAAAAAGCTTTTAGTAATTCTCTGGTTATAAAAGTAATACATTTATTCAAGATAATTTGGAAAAAATAACAGTATGTAAAGAATAGAATAATCAATAAGTATCCATAAATTTCCATCAGCCAAAAATAACCACTAATACTTTGTTCTCTTAAGTTTTTCTATGTACGTGTGCATGCAATTGAGATACACATGTCTGTATACATATATATATCTAATTAGAATGGAATTGTACTGTTTTATATTTTGCTTTTTCCATTTAAGATTATATTGTATACACTTTCTCATTTCATTATATGCTTTCAAAAATAACATTTTTTGGGGGGGGGTTGTTTTTTGTTTTTTTTCAAAAATAACATTTTGAAGCTGTATAACATTGTCTTTTGGAGATATCATGCTATACATATTCAAGTCCTACTGTTGTTATTCATTTAGATTCTTTAAAAAGTTTTAATATTATCATGAACATAAATTTCTATGTTTTCTAATTCTTCCCTTTAGATAAGGTTCTAGAAGTGAAATTAATAGGAAAAAGGGTGTGAATATCTTCTAAGAGGGTACATTTGCTATTTTTTATTTACTCAATTCATCCATCCTTAAAAAAAATATCTGCTGAGCATCTGCCATGAGGCAGGCCAGATGCTGAAGGTACAGCTGTGAAAGGAGAGACAGTGACCCTGCATCACAGAAATGGCATTGTCTCACTGATAATCCAGACAACCCAAGTACTGCAGAAGGAAGTATGGGGGCCTCCTCAATAGAGAGTTGGAGACAAAGAAAAAGGACCTGAGAATCTGAGATCTCAGGGTCAGAAAGCCTTCCTAAAGAAACCATCATGTAATATAATACCCAAGAATGTGCAGAAGTTGGCCAGAATATGTGAGATTTGTGGGGAGGCAGTTTCAGGTAGAAGCAACGGCATGAGCAACAGTTCTCCTGCTGGAACAAGAGAAGGAAGTCAAGTACAATTAGACAGAGAAGGTATATGTGTGTGAAAGTGGACAGGGGAGTGGCAGGATGGGGAGGAACAGTGTGAGGATGCAAGATAAGACCTGAATGGTAAAAAGGAGCAAGATCATTTATAGTTTTGTAAGCAAAAATAAGAAGTTGCAGCTTCATCCTAAAGGTCTGGGAAGTTTTGGGGTTTTTAAAAAAGATTTTATTTATTTGAGAGAGAGAGTACGCATATGAGCTTGAGCAAGGGGAGCAGCAAAAGGGGAGGGAGAGGGAAAGAGAGAGAATCTCAAGCAGACTCCTTGCTGAGCATGGAGCCCAATGCAAGGCTGGATATCAGACCATGAGATTATGACCCGAGCCAAAACAAGAGTCAAACACTTAACCAACTGAACCACCCAGGAACCTCCTAAAAGTCTGGGAAGTTTTAAGACATAGAGTGACAAAACAGAAGGCAGAAAGATCAATTAGGAAGAGGATGAGAATTACAGTCACATAAAACTAACAAAATTTTCATTTTTA